CTCAGCATAGCTTGGCTGCCTTATTCATCTTCTACTTCCAATGCTAGCACAGCATTGCCTCCTCTAATCCTTAATCTAGTAGTCATTAACATTAACCTTTCAACACACAAGAACAAAAATTTCCACGTTAGATGGTCCATTTTGCTCTCCATATCCTTGTCTCCTCATCATATTGAGGACAAATTTAGAACCTACTCCACTTCTCCTGCCCCCATTTTCAGTCTTTTTCAGACTTCCCTAGTTTTAATCTGAGCCTTGATTACAAGGCAATTTACCCTGAATCACAGGGCTTGGCCACTTTTTGCCATGCTTTTAGCAAAGCAATTTCAATATGGACCCACTGCTGAACATCAATGCATCCACCTTAATATGTTTAATAGCCACTTCAGTTAATTCATTGAAATTAAAATTCTCCATTAGCACCTCCTTGTTCATCCCATTTATTTAGCTTCATATTTCTTCCAACTGGAAAAAGGTTCACCAAAATCATTTCAAGTAAGTAGGCTGGGGGCATCATTCTGGCACTGCCCAAGGAGATTATGGCTGAAATAAAAGATCCTCTAGTTGGCAAAAGAAAACCCGAACCTGGACAGTCTGAGGCCAGGTACACCTTTCTCTGCCAGGGCTCCACAAGCCCCACAGACATGTGTTTGAAGGAGCCTGAAAGAGCATTGGCTCATCGTTGATTAGCTATTCAGGATCATGCTCAGCTGATTTCCATCAGTACAAGGGGCAACTTATTACTCACTTACCTAAATATTGCTATTTGCACTTTTTTTCCTGAAGTGCTCTTAAACAAGACAATACCAAGCTATTGTCAATGCCATATGATGATGTGATGGGAAAGATGTGGTGCCCAAAAAGAGTATCATAGAATTTTCAGTGAAAGAAGTTGGTCATGAGAGATATTAGTTACCGCTCTCTCTTTTTCAGGAAGACATGCAAAACCATAAAGAAATAATGATTCCTGCATACCTACTACAATATTGTTCTCCACTTCTGAACACAGATCCCTAATAAGAACAGGGCCATGAATGTCCACTTCTACCTTTTCACTGTGAGCACTTCAACATTCTTAAGGAAAGTTCTACTGAGCTATGAGCAGTCTTGCCTGCCAGAGTCAGCACCTGGAACTAGTCCCAAGTCCAGCCTTGCAAAGTCTATACAATGGGATGATAGCATGTTGTTGCCAAGTAGCTACTACCCTATGCTCCCAGGCCATGGCAGGGGGAGGGGGCTTAACTCAAAAATCTCCCTTTATCTCCAGCACGAGTTGGGGTGCGGAAAAGGCCCTCAAAGAGTTGAAAACTGATTTGCTTTTTCCATAATTTTTTTTATCTGAAACCTGATGCCTGGATTGCCCCATCTGACCAGATGATCCTCTAACAGAAGAGCCCCAATGGCAAAGGAAGACATTAACCTATTCCAAGGGAAGTCTAGCTTGAGATCCCTACTCTTAACACTTGGAGGCAGTTTAATAGGAAGTCTGGGAGCCCTGCTCCTGGTGCCATACAGTTTTCTTTGGGTGAGGGAAGAGAATCTCCACAGTAATTAAAAACCTTGGCAGATTTGAGCCATAGAGAACAGGGTCCTGGACTTGGACTCAAGAAGACCAGATTTCAGGTTTTGCCTCAGACAAGTCATTTATCCTAGAGGTGAAGGGAAGATCAGAGGTTATGGATGAGAAGAGTACCCATCTCCCAGGGTTGCTGAAGATCAAATGGGACAATAGATGTAAAGCACTTTGCAAAACAAAGGGCTATGTAAGTATCCCCTGCTAATGAATCCTGTAGTCTTCAGACTACAGGCAGCTGCCCCTAGAAACACTAAAAGTAAAAAAAATTGACAAACTAACCTGAACTTCCTTTGGGGAAGACAAGGTTGGCTAAGCTAAGATACTAGCCAGTTCTGCTAACTTCCCATGTTTTCATGACACCATGACTCATTCATTCCCAGGGGAAGGACAGGCCTCTTCCCAAATGGCATTCTGGTAGAAAGTCAGAGGTGGGCTTTAAAAAAAATGCTTAGAAGTTTAAAATGCTACTACAGAAGCACACATTTTCAAGAATGGAAAGTTCTTTCAAGCAGATATTCATTACCTCTGTAGCTTGGTTAGGGGGAGGAGTAGAAACAGGGTTCCAAACACAAGGAAATCCTGGGACCTGGACCTGTATAACACCTGTTTTTAAAACCTCTCCTAAGGCTGTAAGTACCATAATTTTAAAAGGCACGTGAAATATTGAGGTAATTCAAAGATATATTAGTTTGTTAGGTTGAAGAGACTTTTCTTACTATGAGTGTATATAAGTGAGAAACAATGGAGATGCTTTTATTAAATTGTTTTCATTTTTATCTTGTACAGAAAGGTAATTCTGAAGAGACTCTTGGTACCTTAAGTCATCTCTAAATGATGGTTAGAAATCTCTGGTTGCAATCTCTCAAATAAAATGTTAGGATAGTAATAGTAATTTAGAATATTTATGCTATTATTGCCATATTGTTATCATTAATACATCATATTGCTACTGACTTACTATGCAGTTAATCTTTGGAGATTAGATAATAGACTTACTTAAGGAGAAATTTTCTTCAGTTTAAATAACTAAAAAGATAAGGTGGGACTCTGAGCTAACTGATAAAGAAAGAGGCTTCAGTTTTATTAACAAGAGATCCAAATGTACTTGTGGATTACCTTAGAATTTGGAAGTATGCAACATCACCTTTCTCCTTACCTGCCCTCATGGTAGAAACATTAATGCCTTACCTTTGAAGTAGAGATGCCAATTTTAAAGTTAGATAACTAATTTACAGCATTTAAGTCCACAGATCTGGAATTCAGAGAAAAAATCAGGAATGATCCCAATTCACAAATAAGATAGGGTCACTCATACAAAAACCCAAGCAGCTAATCTTCACTTTCCAAATCAATACCAAGACAGTATAAACTCAATTACTTAAAAAAACTGAAAATCTTAATCTAAGCAACCCAGCTGCATCTTCTGCAATGGCAAGTCAGACATTAATGATGGGGGGATGGGATCTGGACCCCTAAAAGGAAAATTCCCTGAACTTTCTCACAAATTTCAAGAACCCAGTCCCTGCCATTCACCTGAGGCATCTGGCTCACCCCAGCCCACCTTGATTAATTTACTTGACACTCCTTAATCCCATCCAGTCCCCTTTTTCTGTTACCTCCTGACCACCCCAGGCTACTTGCCACTCCTTGATCCCATTCAGATCTTCCCACAATCTTTTTTTTGTCTATAAGTATTTGTCTCATCCCTATCAAATTCAGATATTTACTAGAAATCTTGGTTGCCCAGTTGGTGTATAATAAAATCTCACTACTCTGACTGAAAGAAGGCTTGAGTGGTCCAATTCTTTTGAGGTACACCTGTCCTTGCATTTTGAGGTTCCTAGCACCCCCAACCCACAACATTAACATAGAAGAGTATCAGCCTTTGCAACTTGGTTCATGATTTAAAAAGAGAACCAAGTCATAAATTCATTTAATTTCTTACATGTGAAGACATAGTGCAACCTGAAAAGTTTTTAGTAATGTTTCTATTGCTGTCCCCAGTAGAGGATCCTAAAGATTTTTACTGAGACATTTTCTACTTTCTACCACGAATTAGGAGGAATGGATGGCACTGTCTCAGTAGATCCACAAATAGGTTCACAATGGAAAGATCTTTTCCAAGTCAGATTCTCAACTACTGAGCTCACAAACAGCTGTATTACTACTTTAAGTCTTTAGCAGTTAAATGGCACTATTCTTACACTAAAAATCAGACTGAATCTTCTTCAAGATTTGCCATCAAACGCTTCTATTGTTCTTCAGAAGAAAGATGAAGACTCTATGACAGCACTGGAAATCCTGTGAAGATGAAAAATGCAAAGGCACAGACATAGAGAAAGAAAACCAAATTCATTGAATTCCAGAAATCCCAGGAGGAACATTTTTACCTGCATGGAAGAGTTTCATGGGGAACTTCTATTTTCCCTCTGAAAACTGTTCTTCACCTTTTATCAAAAGGAATAGTTACCAAAAACCTGAAGAGATGATACACTCTTTAGCAAATTGTCCTAGGGAAACCTGTGCAGAAGTGATCAATTCTTATCATCCAGGCTGTAGAGGGACCACATTAGGGATGTATGTTTTCTGGGACCTGAAGAATAAATTCTGATGTGCAGTGTTGAAAAGTAAAACACTTGCCTTTGAAGGTACTGGAACTCAGGTGATGACTTTACTCAGTTATTGCTGGGAGAACCAACAACAGCACTTGCCTGTGTTCCTGCTGGTAGATGATTGTGAAGAGCAAGACCCAAACCTGATTTGTACCATCACATGAACTCAGCCATTGAAGAGGCTTATATCCTGTAGGAGACACCTTTAGTTCTTCTAAACTTCAGGAGATGCCAGAGGCCAGAAAAGGGGCTTGATGCTGCAGGTTCCCCACCCCTGGATAGAGGATGGAAGCTCCAGTTGGCATTGGGAAGATCAGCTGGAGTCCCACGTGCACTGTGAAAGTTTGTGCATGGCCTCCTAGGCAGAAATGCTATTAAGTGTTATGTTCTCCCATGATGCTGAGAGTAAGTGGCACTAACCCTTAGCTCTGCCTCTATGTTTCAGACTCATTGTCAAGGGTATAAATATGAATTTGCCGGGATCTGAGCTCTCACCTGCTGGCCAAACTCAATTTAAGCATCACTCTAGAAGACCTAGAGGGCCACACATGGCCTTGAGGCCACAGGTTCCCCACCCCTTCGAGTTTACACCAATAGCTCTCAAACTCTCCCCCCACCTCACAGCACAATATAAAACCTCGGTCATGGGCTCCGGCTGAGGCTAGGCCTCGGAGAGCAAGCAGGCCCGCCCTCCTGCCCCCGTGTCCTGCCCGCCTCGCGGTGAGCCCCACTAGGCCTCTGTGTGTTCCCTGCCTCGATTAGGACGCTCCTTACAGCAAGGGCGACCCAGAGGCGAGGGGGGGGGCAGCGCCATGTCTCTAGTCGCCTACACCAGCAGTGAAGAGAGTGAGCCTGACGAAGCGGAGCACGAGGAGGAAGCGGAGCACGAGGAGGAAGCGGAGCACGAGGAGGAAGCGGAGCACGAGGAGGAAGCGGAGCACGAGGAGGAAGCGGAGCACGAGGAGGAAGCGGCCGCCTCAGCCCAGGCTGGACCCAGCCTGGGGGGCTTCTTTGCCTCCATCCCCCCGCCCACGGGTCCTGCCCTGCTGCCCCCGCCTCCCGCCAGAGACCCCCGGCTGCAACCCCTGCCCCCACTGCACTTAGGCCTGGGTGACTTTCCTCGGTCCCCGGGCCTCAGTCTGGCCGAGGCCCCGGGGGTGGGGGAGGGGCTGGAGCTGCCCCTGCCGCGGGCTGCAGGGCTCAACCTGCCCCCTCCGATCGGGGGTGCCGGGCCCCCTCTGGGGCTCCCCAAGCCAAAGATGAGGACTAGGGAGCCAGTGCGCATCGCAGCCCCCGAGCTGCACCAGGGAGATTCAGATTCAGAGGAAGATGAACCTACAAAGAAGAAAACTGTTCTTCAGGGATCTGGTTTATCAGCTTTGCTTCCCCAACCCAAAATCCTGACCACAAAAGAGGCTAGCCGATTGCTCCTGCCCTGTGCTTTCTCCCGAAAACCCACTGATGGCTCTTCTGACACCCAGCTCTCCAAACCAGTCCCCAAGACCAAATCTGCTTCTGCTTCCTCCTTTTCCCCTGTTATGGGTGCCACCACTACTACCCCATCACCCTCAGCCATCAAAGCAGCTGCCAAGAGTGCTGCCCTGCAGGTGACAAAGCAGATCACACAAGAGGAAGAGGAGAGTGATGAGGAAGTAGCCCCTGAGAACTTCTTCTCCCTTCCAGACAAGGCTGAGACTCCTGGAGCTGAGCCATACCTTTACCCTGTCCCTGCTGCTTCTGAAGAGTTCCCCCCAGGCACAGAGCCAGATCCCACCTTTCAGGACGATGCTGCCAATGCTCCCCTTGAATTCAAGATGGTGGCAGGCTCAAGTGGGGCTCCCTGGGTGCCTAAGCCTGGGCACAACTACAGCAGTCAACCCTACAACCAGTTCTCTACATATGGTGACACTAATGCCACTGGCATTTACTATCAGGATTATTACAGCAGTGGCTACTACCCCAAGTCTGATCCAGCCTTAGCTCCCCCCCAGGAGATTACCCCAGAAGCCTCTTTCATTGATGATGAAGCCTTCAAGAGGCTTCAGGGCAAGAGGAACAGAGGAAGGGAAGAGATTAACTTTGTGGAGATCAAAGGGGATGACCAGTTCAGTGGGGCCCACCAGTGGATGACCAAGTCCTTGACAGAAGAAAAAACCATGAAATCATTCAGCAAGAAGAAAGGTGAGCAGCCAACAGACCAGCAGAGGCGAAAACACCAAATCACATATTTGATTCACCAGGCTAAAGAGCGAGAGTTGGAGCTGAAGAATACCTGGTCAGAGAACAAGCTCAGCTGTCGGCAGACCCAAGCCAGATATGGATTCTAGGCTTCTGGAACTGACTTCCTCAAGGATCCCATCTTCCCCTTTATCTAGTACCAGGTGGCCTGGCCTTGCCCTTCCCAGCTAACACCTTTGGGAGCCCCAGCAGCTCCAAGTCCAGGACCTTTTTCCCTAGGGCCCCAGCCATCACCTCCTTGAGAAGGAACACATTGGATTTCATTTTCTTCATGAAACTTAGAAATGGAGCTTCCATATCTCTTGGGGCCAGCAGAGACTTCACAGTGACTCTTCCAGAAACCACTGTTGAATTCTAGATTGGGAACTTGGCTCTCAAACAGGTTGAAATGACTGGTTGAATTCTGTATTTTGTTTTTTTGTTTTTTGTTTTTGTTTTTTAAGTGAAACAAAGATGTCTGTTGAAATAAAACATCTATGCTGACAGAAAAAAACCCCCACAATATTCAGTATAGGGAATGATGACTCTGATAAGACTCCAAGAGCACTGGAGACTCATGGGCATAGTTACTCTTCAATAAGCTCAGTGGCTTTGACCAAGTTTTTTATTTTCCCAAATTCAAAATGCTTTGTTAGTGTGATATGCAAATTTTTATTTTATGAATACTAGGCTTACCATTTGAGAAGGTCTATTTCATTCTATTCCTCAAAATAGAACTTTGAATATAATTTGCCCAAAACCCTAATTTATAATGAAACAATAAAGGCTATTAATACCATCAGTACTTTGATCCAGAACTAGCTATGAAGTAGTATATGTCTATTGTGGAGATGTGTAAAATGGTATGAAAGGTTGGGAGTAGGCAAAATGCTTGTATGGTCTCACCAAAATAAGGTGGAAATATTGTCAAAAGAACATCTTCACTTTTTATCTAGTAATTCAAGTTGTTTCTTTCTGATGACCCAACATGAGTCTATGGATGCCAGCTATCTGATAGGGCTAAACAGCTAAGTAGTTGGGTATCTCATGAGTTGATGAGGGACAGAGAGAGATGTAACTCTCTCTCCCCCTTTCTTTCATTAAACCTGTAACTGAAACTCAGCATTTCCTTCAATAATTTAAAAATATTCTGAGAAGGGGCCCATAGACTTCACCAGCCTGATAAAGAAGGGCTCCATGACACCCAAAAAGAACGTTTGCAATGATTGAGGCTTTGCCTAGTATTTTGCTGAGTCAGCATGCCCTACAGGCTGCACTAAGTGCTCATTTCCAATAAGCATATTGTCCATGAGTGTTTGCAAAGCACTTTTACACATTTCATTTGATCTTCAAAGCAATTCTGTAAGGGAGGTGCTGTGATTATTCCAGTCTTACAGATGAAGACATGGAGAATGCAGCTTAAGTGATTTGCTCAGGATCACCCAGCTAATAAGTTGTCTGAAGCAAGATTAGACCCAACTCCAAGTGCACTACTGTATTCCCAGCACTCCTTTGCTGCTTATGCTCTAAGTTCACCCTACGAATGTCCTTCTTATACTGGACTGCAGGGTTGCTAGCTAGAGGAGTTGACACCTTGTCTGGGAGGCCCTAAAGGGGCAGGGCTACCTGCTGTAAAAGGAGACCATCCTGCCCCTCAGAAGCACTGCCTCCTTGCTTCTTGCAAGACCTGAAGTCTCTTCATCTCAGCTGCTCTAGAAAACAAGCAATTGCAGAGAGAAGAATGGCTGCTGCTAGGGAAATGCTGCAGGAATGGCTGAGGGAAATCACCTGTGGCATCTGTAGGAGCTACTTCTATGAACCAGTCACCATGGGTTGTGGGCACAGGTTTTGCAGAGCATGTCTCTCCTGGAGTTGGAGAGTTGCCACTCAAGCTTTCTCTTGTCCTGAATGCAGGCAGGTGTCCCAGGTCAGAGAATTCCCAGCAGTCAATGGGAGCCTAGCAGAGCTGACTGACCTGACCAATTGGCTCTGCCCCCAGCTTTTGCAGAACACTGAGGAACACAGCCAGTGTGCCAGGTGCAAGGAAGGGCTCAAGCTGTTTTGTGAAGATGACCAGACACCCCTCTGTCTGAGATGTTCCCAAAGCCCAGAGCATGGGGCTCACAAGCTCTCTTCTGTAGAGGAGGCTGCTCACAACTGCAGGGAGAAGCTCCAGCACATTCAGAGTGACTTGGGCAAGCATCTGGAGGAAGCTGAGAAACTTCCTGATGAGGAGGAGACACCTGCTGTTGACTGGCATTGGACGATCTCAGGAGAATATAACAAACTTCACCACTTCCTCCTGTTGGAAGAAGCCATATGTCTTGAAAGGATAAAGGAAGAGGAAAGGCAAGCCAGGACAGACTCTCCCAGCATATGCAAAGCCTTCAAGCCCTCACGGTAGGGCTGCAGGAAGCAGGCCACCAACCCAATGTGCATCTGCTACAGGAAGCCAAGGAGTTGCTAGGAAGGACTGAGTCAGTGTTGTCCCAAAGGGTCAAGGCTGTCACCCCAGAGCTGAGAGAATACCCCATTCCTGGCATGATGGAGATGCTCAACCGTTTCAGAGTGGACATCACACTGGATCCCACATCAGCCAGTCCCTGTGTGATTGTTTCTGAGGATCTGAAGAGTGTGAAGGCTGCAGAAGGCTGGCAGGTGGAAATCAAGCACCCTGAGGACCCTGCTTGGCATTATGTCTTTGCTGATCAGGCCTTCAGCTCAGGCAGACAGTACTGGGAGGTGGATGTGACTCAACTCCCTCAGTGGATACTGGGCATCTCTACTCCTCATCTGAAGAGAAAAAAAGGTAGGAACATGGACTCATGTGCCTCTCTGTTCCTGCTTCAATGTATCAAGAAGGGAGAGGATTACCATTTCCAAACCTATGCTGGATCACTGAACCATCAAGTGAAAGACACTGTGCCCAGGGTTGGGGTATAGCTGGAATATGCTTCTGGCACTCTTGTCTTTTACAATGCCATCCAGAGCTCCCTCTTCTAGAAGTTCTACCCCATTCTTTTCCCAGAGCCTGTCACACCTATCTTTTCTCCTGGCCCCCCACTTCCAGGAACAAGGGCTGCTCCCATGACTCTGTCTAATGGAGTCTCATCTTTGTGTTTGATGCCATTCCTCTCTGAGAGCATTTCTCCAGGGAGGAATTCTCCACCTACCACCAGGCTCCCTGGCTGGGGTCCTTCAATGTCCAGCCTTCACCAGCCAGCCTACTTCATGATGGAGAGGCTCCCTGCCAACCAACTGGAGACTTTTCTTCCATACTGTAAGCTGTTTTGATCTTTTTTCCTTTCCTAGTACGTTAGAATTTCTGTAAACTCTACTTTGCACTCTATTTGATATAAAATGAAATAAATTCTGTCTTTCACTTTGCTTATTCATATTTTTGTTATTTTTTCATTTCATTTCAGTCCTGTCCAGCACTTTGTGACCTTACTTGGGTTTTGTTTTTCTTTTTGTTTTTCTTTTTCAAAGATGATAGAGTGGTTTGCCATTTCCTTCTCCACCTTAATTTATGGAAGAGGAAACTGAGGCAAACAGGGTTCAAAGACTTGCCCAGGGTTGCAGAGCTACTAAGTATCTGAGTTTAGATTTGAAGTAAAAAACAAAAGAAGACTTACTGATTCCAGGCCTGGTATTTTATCCATTTTCCCCTATCTAGCTGCCCCCTTACACACATCAGAATAAAATTAATTACAAAAAGATAAGACACCCCTTTCCAGCTTCCTTTTGGGTGTTGTGTCTTCCTCATTAGATTGGAAATTCCTTGAGGGCAGGATGGTGGAGTAAAAAAGTAGCTGCTCTCACCCTCCCCTATCAACCTCTGAAAACCCAGAAAATATCACCCCGGGGGGGAAAAAAACCTGGAACGGTTGAACTAGAAGAAAGAGTGGAATAGCAGTGCAGTAGCCCAGCAAATGGGTCTTCCAGTACCTCAGCAAAAATAAAGCAAGCAGCACTACACAGGGCCCCAGGGGTATAAGCACCCTGCAGCATTCATCTTAAAGGAGTTAAAGAAAGCAACCTAGAGTCAGCCTTGCTGATTCCAACCCAACACCAGGTAAACTATCAGAACCCTACAGCCTCCAACTGTCAACCAGGAGGAGATCCTGAAGCCCAGGTGGTAGAGCAGGCAAACACCAACACCTTGACCTCCAAGTGCCTCAGTGAGGGTGGGAGAACCAGTGAAAACCAGCTCAGAAAACCATCAGGTGAATTGGCACTCTACAGCAAAAGAATCTCCCAGTGCATTAGCAGAAACAAGGGAGGCAGCATTACAAGGGGCCCCAGGCAGATAAAGATGCTGCAACACCCATTTCAAAGGAGCTGAAGAAAGCTAAAGGAAAGGAAAAGCAGGCAACCTAGAATTGCCTGAAAGTTCCAGCCTTCCTGATTCCAGCCCAATAAGGTAAGCTGCCAAAATCCTACAGCCTCCAATTGCCAATATAAGAGGCCCCAGCACACAAAGCCAGTGACCAAGACCTAGGCTCCCACCACAAGAAGCTTGGGTCAGTGTCCTCTGCTCTGCATCAGGAGAGCTCAATCTCTATAAAGGCCAGGGAATAAAGAAACCATGAGTAAAAAGAAACGTACCATAGATTCATATTATGACAAGAGTGGAGATCAAGACAAATTCTGAAGAGTACAACATTGTTAACAAACCCACATCTACAACATCAGAAGGGAATATGAACTGGTCTGAAGCCCAAAAAGCCTTCCTAGAAGAGCTCAAGAAGGATTTTAAAAATCTAATGAGAGAGGTAGAAGAGTCCTTAAAAAATACAATTGGTCAATTGGAAAAAAAAGTACACTGAAGAAAACAAGTCCCTAAAAAACACAATTGGCAAACAGGAAAAAAAAAGTACACTGAAGAAAAAAATCCCTTAAAAATACAATTGGCCAATTGAAGAAGGAAGTACAAAAACTAACAGAAGAAAACAATCTGTTAAAAACTAGAATTGGACAAATGGAAACCAATGACTCTATGAGAGAGCAAGGATCAAACCAAAAAAAAAAAAACAAATGAAAACATAAAATACCTTATTGGTAAAACAACTGACCTGGAAAATCCATCCAGGAGAGACAATTTAAAAATCATTGGACTACCTGAAAATCATGATGAAAAAGAGCCTGGACAGTATCTTTCAGGAAATCATAAAGGAAAACTGCCCTGAAGTCCTAGAACCAGAAGGTAAAATAACCATAGAAAGAATACACTGCTCACCACCTGAAAGAGATCCCAAATTGACAATGCCAAGGAATATAATAGCAAAATTCCAAAATTACCAGATGAAAGAGAAGGTGCTGCAAGCAGCCAGAAAGAAACAATTTAAATATCATGGAACCACAGTCAGGATTACACAGGACCTTGCAGCTTCTACATTAAAAGACCACAGGGCATGGAACATGATATTCCATAAGGCAAAGGAGCTTGGATTGCAGCCAAGGATCAACTAACCTGCAAAAATGAGCATGATTTTTCAAGGGAGGAGATGGATATTCAACGAAATAGGGGACTTCCAAACCTTCCTCATAAAAAGACCAGAGCTCAACAAAAAATTTGATCTTCAAGTACAAGATTCAAGAAAGACATAAAAAGGTAAATGGGACAGAAAGATACAAAATGTTGTTAATAAGGGTGGACTGTTTACATCTCTACAAGGGAAGATGACACCTGCAACTCTTGAGAACTGTATTGTTATTACACCATGTTAAAGGAGTATATGAAAAGGGGGTGGATATTAGTTGACTTTGAGTAATGATAAAAAAAATTTAATCAACTGGGTTAAATGGATCAAAGTAAGTAGATTAGTCTGATCTTAGAAAATGTATTGAGAAAGGAGGAGGCAGACAAGTGTAAATTACGTTACAGGAAAAGACACCAAATCCTATTACAGCAGAGGGAAAGAAGGGAGCATGGTGAGCATTGTTTGAACCTTAATCTCATCAGATTTGGCTCAAGAAGGAAATAACATAATCAGTTAGGTACAGAAATCAAATTTGCCCTATAGGCAGTAGAAGGGAAAAGGGGAAAGAAAAGGGAAGGGGGATAGAAGAGAGGAAAGAAGCAGTAAGAGCAAAGGGGAAGAAAAGGTAAAGGGATAATAGAAGGGAGGAGAGAGAGAAGGAGGCCTTGGTCAAAAGCAAAACACTAGTAGGGGGAGGGAAGGAGAAAGGAGAAAGAAAAGCATAGACGGGGGAAAAAAGGATGGAGAAAAGACACAGATAGTAATCATAACTGAAAATTGAATCGCTATCCTTTTATTTTCTTCTGTTGAATTTTTTTTGTTCTTTCTGATGATTCCTCCTATTGCTTTTAATTTTTATTACAACCTCACTAATGTGAAAATATGTTTAATAGGAATGTAAATGTATAGCCTATATCAGATTGTGTGCCTTCTTGGGGAGGGTGGTGGGGAGGAAGGGGGAGAAAAATTTTAAACTCAAAAGCATATGGAAGTGATTGTTGATAAATCAAAATAAATTTAAAAAAAAGAAAAAAGATAATAAAATTAGTTGGCAAGTATTCCCAATGCCCTGTGATCAATTCCTACTCCCTCAGAATATTCCTATCCCAAATTGGGAATGAATCCCTGATGTATATAAGGGCTGGTTATATATGGCTAATAAATATGGGTGTGGGAATGGCTATTTAAGGGCACTTAACTATGTTCCAGCCACAATGAGAATCTGAGTAGAAAGTTCTAGCACAAATTTCAGAAGAAATACTCTTTCATCACCATTAATTTGGTTTGAGGTTCTATCCTCACTTTTCACTCATCTCTATGATGGGTCTCTGTTGTGTTTGTTCTTCTTTCTCCATGAGGTCCATGACATCATGGAGATGATGGAATGACTTGCAATTGACTTTGATTTGAGCGAGGGAGGGCCTTGGCAGGTCACCAGGCTTACTTTCTCCTCCAGAACCATCTGGGTCCAGTGGCCACATGATCATCAGGATGACAAGAGATGGTCCAGGATGCAATTTTATTCCCTGGCCCTTTTAAGCTGAGGATTCCTCTGGTTCTCACTTTGAGTGAGGTACCTCCCATTCAGTGAATAGCCCTCTTTAAAAAGAGATTCAATGGATGCCCCCTTTAACAAAAAAAAAAATCAAACTAGGAAGGGAAGACCTTCAGGGTTGCTGGCCAAAAGAAAAACAATTATTTATATTCACTCTGAGCAAGTATGCACAGAAAAAATCTGTGTCTGGGGTGACAAAGTTGAAAGAAACAGAAAAATCACAAAATTTCAGGTGAAAGAAATGCACATTGTACCTTTTATATCAATAGTTAATTATAGTGACTACTTCCATTGTTGACAAAGATTCTGCGTTTTCCTCTTTCCACCATTCTCCTTGGTTAAGAATATATCTAAAGGGTATTGAGTTAGAGGCCAGATGTATGATGAAGACATGGGACAAGTCTGAAGCTGCTTCTGATACAGGAGCTGAATGACTGGCCCTAGCTAATTGCCCCAATTCTCCCTCAACTAGTGTGCAGCTGATATTTCCATGGCATATGTGATGTGATCCTGGCAAGTCAGCATAATCAGTGCCCAGCAATCAACCTCAGGTCTAGGAGTTGCTGTCACTGGAACATAGTTTCCTCAGCTGTGAAGTAAAGGGGACTGAATGAGATGGCCCCCAAGATCCCTTGTAGCTAAGTGAAGTCAGAGTCCTCTTTCAGAGGAAGAGATAATTGAAGGGATTGGCCAAGAATATGGATCTTCATCCCAAATCTTACTTCCTGGTGTCTGGCCAGCCCAGGTCCTACTGGCCTTCTGAGTGAGTGCTTCCTGAGACCCACCAACAAATATGAACAGTCTAGAAGGCATCAATCATCTTCTTTAAAGCAAAACACACAGACACACACACACACACACACACACACACACACACACACTCAAGTAGCTACTCAAAAATCTGG